AATACTGTCTTAAGGAATTTATATTTCATAAAACAGAAGGAAGAATTATTTCAAAATGATTTAAAATCATTTAGGAAATGATTTAGGGGAAAAAATGAACTGGGAATTTTGATGACCTGTTATCTTTCATATTCTTTTGTACAGAAATGAGGATTCAGGATTGCATTTTTTCTATTGCTACTCTTCTGGAGGGCTTTCCCTCATCCAGTTCTGATCTCAGGTAGGGAATGCAGGCCCAATCTAAGTAAGAAGACATGTTTTCTATCATTAACAATGTCTTGCTTTCTGATCCTGAGAAATTATTTATACATATATTTTTTAAATAATTATTTAATTTATTTATCCATTCGTTTATTTTAATTTGACCAGAGAGAGACAGAGAGAAAGAGAGAGAGAGAGAGAGAAAGTTAGACAGCAAGTTACCGGGTTTGGTACTCGAACCATGGTCAGTCATGTGGAAGTGTCCTGTACCTTAAGCGCCATGCCACCTGCTCGTCTTGAAATTATTTATATTTTAATTTGAATCTCTTTCATTGAAAAATCATATGTTATGATTAGTCATGTGAATTCCTCTATTAAATTATTTACAATGTACTTTATGTAATAGGTCTATATAAAACCATTGGTTTTATGTATAGATACTTTTGAAAAATTTGTATTATCCTACCTCAGAACAAAGATTCATATGAATTGTAATAATTAGAGGATACACCAATGTATTTCTGCCCCATGAACATTTTCAATACTCTTTTGTTACTGTCGTTGAACATTCTATGTCTGATCATTATTTTTGTTTTGTTCTTAAAAAGAAGATAGGAAACCATATAGCAATACTGAGGACAAAAAAGGAACAAACTAAAATTTCCTCTTGATAAAGTTAGAGTTTTGAATAATGATTTCAAATAGTCTAATGTGGATAGCTTTTTAAATTCATACTTTTTACCAATTTGCCATCTAACATTTTCTCAAAGCTTATAAAAAACAAGATTTTTATTTCATGAATCATTAGATATGATCCTTTCTTAATAATTTTGCTACAAAAGCTTTCCACGTTTTTAAAATATATACCAGTCGTTCATATATAACACTTAAATTATGGACTGAGGTAAAAAGTTTAATTTAGCTTTTATAAACCTACAAGAGTCAGGTAATACCTCATCTCTGGGTAAACTGAAAGAGATTAGTTGAGTATATTCTTCTCTCTTTCTGTTAATTTGATAATGTCTTAAGAATATACATGAAAGGGACCAGCAGCTAGCATAATGGCTACGTCGCTGGACTCCCATGTAGTTGACAGTGGTTCGAGTCCCAGACCTGGTGGCTTAAAAAAAAACTCAAGTCAGGCACATGTGTATGCGTGCCCAAGATTCCAAGATAGAGAGCAAGCCACCACATCTGGTACTCGAACCTTGGTCAGCCATGTGGAAGTGTCCAGCACCTTAAGCACCACGCCACCTGCTGGTCTCTAAAATTATTTATATTTTAATTTGAATCTCTTTCATTGAAAAATCATATGTTATGATTAATCATGTGATTTCCTCTATTATTTACAATGTACTTTATATAATAGTTCTATATAAAGCAAGCCACCACATCTGGTACTCGAACCTTGGTCAGCCATGTGGAAGTGTCCAGCACCTTAAGCACCACGCCACCTGCTGGTCTCTAAAATTATTTATATTTTAATTTGAATCTCTTTCATTGAAAAATCATATGTTATGATTAATCATGTGATTTCCTCTATTATTTACAATGTACTTTATATAATAGTTCTATATAAAACCATTGTTTTTATGTATAGATACTTTTGAAAAATTTGTATTATCCTACCTCAAAACAAAGAATTAATATCAATTGTAATAATTAGAGGCTACACCAATGTATTTCTACCCCCACAAACATTTTCAATACTCTTTTGTTACTGTTGTTGAACATTCTATGTCTGATAATGATTTTTGTTTTGTTCTTAAAAAGAAGAAAGGAAACCATATAGCAATACTGAGGACAAAAAAGGAACAAACTAAAATTTCCTCTTGATAAAGTTAGAGTTTTGAATAATGATTTCAAATAGTCTAATGTGGATAGCTTTTTAAATTCATACTTTTTACCAATTTGCCATCTAACATTTTCTCAAAGCTTATAAAAAACAAGATTTTTATTTCATGAATCATTAGATATGATGCTTTGTTAATCATTTTGCTACAAAAGCTTCCCATGTTTTTAAAATGTATACCAGTAGTTCATATATAACTCTTACATTATGGACTGAGGTAAAAAGTTTAATTTAGCTTTTATAAACCTACAGGAGTAGGATAATACCTCATTAGTGCGTAAACTGAAAGAGATTAGTTGAGTATATTATTCTCTCTTTCTGTTGATTTGATAATGTCTTAAGAATATATATGAAAGGGACCAGCAGTTAGCGTAATGGCTGTGTCGCTGGAGTCCCATGTAGTTGACCATGGTTCAAGTCCCAGACCTGGTGGCTTAAAAAAAAAACTCATGTTAGGCATATGTGCATGTGTGCCCAAGATTCCAAGAGGAGAAAGAAGGAGAAGGGATTGTGGCATGGCCATCCCCTCTAGGGGGTGATTTCTCACTTTTTGTCTCTCTGTATCTCTCTGTCTGTCTGGCAAGTGCACACACTCTATAACAAAAAAATAATAAATAAATAAATAAATTTAAAAAACACTCCAAAAAGAATATACATGAAATACAAAAAGCAAATCCATTCGTTTTTAATGTATTCATGTATGCAGGAAATAGTAGTGGGTGCTAATTAATCACAAAGTCTGTCTTAAATTTGCCTTCTGTATCTTCTCCTTTGGTTGATAATTGCTTTCTAGATTGTATATAAACTGAAAAATATTCTATTAAAAGTGATGACATAGGCATAATTCAAACATACTTAGAAAGCATAATGACCTTATTTTCCTTACTGCTTTCCATCACAAACTTGAACAAGAGGATTTTTCTTTTTTTTGTTTGGTTTTTGTTTTGTTTTTGAGGAAAATAAACATCTCTAAGATGTGAAATGCATAGGGAAAAAAGTTACTTATTACTTTTCACAGATTTATTCATTAATTGGCATTATTAATTATGCTGCATAGTTTTCAACCACTCTTTAATTTATCCAATGATGGGGACCAGCAGATAGCAAAATGCTTGCTTTGCTGGACTTTTATGGAGTTCACTACACATCAAGTCTCAGACCCAGTAGCTAAAAACTCATGCCAGGTGTGTGTGCATGTGCCCAAAATTTTGAGAGAATGGAGAAGGGATTGTAGCATGGTCATCACCCCGGGGGATGATTTCTTGCTTTCTATCTCTCTGGCAAGCACACAAAAATCTCTCTCTCAAAAAAAAAAAGTGATGACATTCATTTAGCATGACCAATAGGCAATGTTAGTACACATGGCAAAGAAAAATAAACTCTTCACAAATAGAAGTTCAACCACTCATGTGTTGGTGTTTAAGTGTATTTTGAATTTCCTGAGGATTTACTAGCTAATAATTCAGGCAATGTTATCAGCTCATATTAGAACAAAGAAAGTTGGTCTTGGACTGGCTCCATATCCTAGTGATTAAGGGAGTTGGATCCCACATGGCCAAAGGCAGTTTGAATCCCAGTTTTGGTGGCTTGAACAAAAACTCTGGTCATTTGTGTTTGTATACCCAGGTCCAGAAAGATGGAGAAATGGAAAAAAGTAATATTTACATATTTCATATTTATAGGAATTACAGGTAAAATGGAAGAAAAACAGTTATTCTTATTTTTCCATTACAAAATTAATTATACAAAAATAGATTTGTAAAATGACCATAAATAGAGAATATTAGAAAGAAAGGAGAAAAAAAGGAACAAAAGAAGAAATATATTTGGTCTTATGGATAATGTACACACATTTTCCAAAATATTAAAAGCATATTTTTGTCTTTGTTTAATTAAGCATTTGTTAGTTATCTAAATAATATAATTAATAATAATAAATGTTTTATTTAAAAAGTAATATTTACATATTTCATATTTATAGGAATTACAGGTAAAATGGAAGAAAAACAGTTATTCTTATTTTTCCATTACAAAATTAATTATACAAAAATAGATTTGTAAAATGACCATAAATAGAGAATATAGCTTAATTCCATAAGTCAGTATTTCATATTCTATATATGTATATTTTATTTTAGTAAATTTCACATTACCATGAGAATCTTTTATTTTTTTCACTCAAATTTATGTTTTCTTCTTTTCAGAAAACTCATTTGAACATAAGAAAACATCAACTCACATACATGAAAAACCAGAGAAATATCTCAGAATTTATTCTTCTGGGACTTTCTGATGCCCAGAACATATAAATATTTTGCTTTGTGCTCTTTTTGTTCTGTTATTATGTCCTAATGATAGGAAGTCTTCTGATTTTTATCTCCATTCTGTCCAGTCCTCTTTTTCACCAACCAATGTACTTTATTCTCATTTATTTATCCTCTATAGATATTTGGTATACCTCTAGCATTGTACCCAAACTGATTGGCAGCCTGTTAGGAGGGTCAAAAACTATTTCCTATGGTAATTGCATGTTACAGATCTTTACCATGCACTTATTTAGCAGTATTGAGGGCTTTATTCTTACCGCCATGGCTTCTGATCGCTATGTTGCCATCTGTACAGCTTTTCACTACAAGACTGTAATGAACGGGACAAGGTGCAATCTCTTAGTCCTGACTGCTTGGGCTGGTGGGGGTGTTCATTCCTTTCCTCAGTTATCTATGGCAATCCAGTTGCCCTTCTGTGGTACTAAGGAAATTAATCACTATTTTTGTGCTATCTTCCCTTTGCTGAAAGTTGCTTGTACTGATACCTATGTTATGGGTGTCCTTGTGGTTGCCAATCCAGGTGTGCTTGTCTCACTTACCTTCTTAGTCTTATTTGTTACTTATGTCATTATATTATTCACTTTAAGATACCAATCGGCAGAGGGAAGACGGAAAGTTCTCTCCACTTTTGGTTCTCATGTCACAGTGGTCATCTTATTTTTCGGACCTGCAATATTTGGGTACCTTAGACCTCCTACCACTTTCCCTGGAGATAAAGTAGCTCTACTGTTTTATACCATTACTGATCCTATGTTCAATCCCCTAATTTATACACTGAGAAACACAGAGATGAAAAACAGTATGAGAAAAATTTGGTGTCAAACTTTGTTTTTAAAGGAAGTGTAAAATGACTTTGAAGTGTAAAATGACTTTGAAGATACTAATTATCCAAACAACTGTACAAATATAAGAACTAGACATGAATAAAAGAACTATATGCTAACTAGTAGATTTTACCATCTTCCATGGAGTATGAGAAAAACAGGATTTCAAATTTTGAAGTAATAAATAATCAAATACTAATTCTTGCATTTGAAAAATATTTGAAAATTTAATAGATTATAAAGGTGGTATGGGAGATTAATTGCATAACAATCATCTTTGCAAAAGAAAATAGGATAATGTTATATTGATCATTGAATTATGATATAATTTTAAAAAGAGAAAGGAAAAAGGCTATAGTTGGAATCACAGAGGTAGATGGGGAATTAGAGAGTTAGAGATTATGTCACATATTAATTATTACACTGGTACACTATGAGGGAAAATTTCACTTTAAGGTTAAAGAACTGGTAATAAAATACTATTGCTATTGTGCCAGGGACCAGCCTCGGTGGGGGTGGGTTGGCTCGACGGAGGCAGTGCTGGAAGGAAAGGAAGACTAAGGCCTCGTGCCTTTTCATGCACGTCCTCAGCCGGACACTCCCAGAGATCACTCTCTGAGGAGTGACAACTGTTAGGAATCATTGTGCCTTTTTATTGAAAATGTGATACATGCAAGTAAATGGGAGAGGGGCTACGTGTTCTAATTATCATTTCATAAAGTTTTAACAATAGAAACCATTCAGGGTTTGATTAAGGGCAGGTCTATTAATCATCGATACAGTTCAACAATTGTTTGATTCAAGCAGTGCAGTTTCAGGAAACAATTCCAGCAAGCAGAGTTAACTATCAACCGATGTTCAGCAGCAGCTGTCTTATGATTACTGAAAGAAAATCTCAAGCATAGATATTAGTTCTTGTGGATTGTCATAAAGAATGATACTTATATAAGTCTACAGGGATTTAAAACTTAAGGAATCCTAATATATTTACCTATCCTGAAGGGGTGGAGTTAGTGTTCACTTGATGAGGGCGGGGATACAGCCTTTTCAACTGGTGGTGAAGTGACTAATAAGTTAATGAAAAACTTTAAAATGGGTTTATGGTGTTGTGGATACACTTGTGTAGCCTATGGCACCACTGTTATGTATTTTGTTAGAACATTAGTTACCATGGGACGAGAGCGTCCTGGGCCAGTTTCGGCCTAGTCCTATTGTACGTGAAAAGATTATTTATATTAAATGTGTCTTGAAGGGCCTTCCAAAGATCAGGAAGAACTTTAGCACACCCTTTACTGTGCCCAATGAAGCGTTGTAATTAACAGTAAGTGGTCAAGGTAAAGGGGAGCGGTTGGGGGACTTTTCGGGAAATCTTACTGCACACTCAAGATGTATGAGGGAGCTATGTAATTCTTTTATAGTAGTATATCAGGGAGTCAGAGGGGGGTCACTTCCCAGCAAGGCTAACACAGTCCCAGAGCGAATAGCAAGCGGCCTTGCCAACATGCTAAGTGACCCAAGCTTGTTCCAAGGTCGGGGGGGCATACAGTTGCAGCCTTGCCAACTTACTGAACCGACCGGAAGTGATGCTCAAAGGTTAAGGGGCTCAAACGGGTCCTGGAGCCCCACTGGGTTGGACTCCTCCACTATTGTACAACACATGTATTGGAAACTTAATTTTGCTCAGTTTTATGATGGTGCGAGAAAAGTTACATGCATGCAGATCACATGCTCCATAGCAATTAATGCTATACTGAACAATGATACACAGAAGACTTCAAAAAGTTTGTGAAACAAAATGGGAGACGGAGGTATAGTGAGAAGCTGACTAACACATAGAACATTGCATGCAGGTAAGTGGAATGACTTCTAGAGTACTGTAACACTGTTGAGTAACTACAGTTGTAATGATTTAGTATATATTTCAAAATATCTAACAGAGAGAACTTTCAATATCTACATAAAGGAATGATAAATGTTTGAGATGGTGGATATGTTGGTTGTCCTGACTCATGTATTGAAAAAACAACTATGTATCCCATAGGTGTATACAATATTAAACATCAATTAAAGTTAAAATATAAGTGACTTTTTTGTGATAGTCAAGCTATTATGACTTTGCATATAATACACATGAAGTTCCTAGTTTAATTCTGGGCATATGGCATGTGTCCTATGTGTTGGTTGTAGTAGTTGCTCTTTTATTTCTTTTTTCTTTTTTTGGAGAGGTTTTTTGCTTTGGGGCGCATGCACTTGCCAGACAGACAGAGAGAGACAGAGAGACAGAAAGAGAGAAATCACCCCCCAGGGGGGATGGCAATGCCAGAATCCCTTCTCCTCCATTCTCCTCTCAGGATCTTGGGCACACATGCACATGAGCCTGGCGTGAGTTTAAGTCACCGGGTCCGGGACTCGAACCGCGGTTGACTACATGGGAGTCCAGTGGCAAAGCCATTACTGTAATTGCTGGTACTGGTTGTAGTAGTTGCTCTTGTCATTAGTGTTTCAGAGAATTGGAGTCTGTTTTCCAGAGAAGCTAGTCATATTGGCTAGCAAGGTGTCATACTTAAGCTCTCTGACTTTGAGGTTCAAAATCTTAAAATAACTGCTGCATTACTTTTCCATTAGCAGCAGCAGAAAGTTTTATTGTTAACAGAGACTTAGTAAAATAAGTATAGCTGTTTTCATCCTTCCTTGCCTGGAGCCACATTTTCCTTTTCACAATGTGGTTGGATTTAATTTGATCCAATATTTTTAATAGGCTCGTTTTTATCTTTTATTTTATGATTTCTTATCCATATTTAATTGTACATCTCTATAGCACACAATATGCTTTTGCAAAGTATGCAAGCAGTATGTGACAATAAAATCAAAATATTACTAAGCACATAATTTTAACTATTCATGAGTAAAGGGTAAAGGTGATATTTGTGATTTTTCCTTCTGAAGGTAACCATGGGCATCACTGAAGGCACGTGCACTCGCGAGAAAGACAGAGAGAGACATAGAGACAGAAAGAGAGAAATCATCCCCCGGGGGAGATGGCCAGGCCACAATCCTTTCTTCTCTTTCTCTTCTCAGGATCTTGGGCATGCATGCATTGCTGGTGTGAGTTTCAGCCACTAGGTCTAGAACTCAAACTGTAGTCGACTACATGGGAATCTACTAACATAGCCATTATGCCATCTGCAGGTCCCATAAATTATAATTTAGTGTTATAAAATGTTTAGAACAGAACACAAGATATTTTTGCAAGTTTTGATAAGATTATGTAAAGGATTTTACTGGGAGACCAGCAAAAGCTTTTATGGTTACATTGCTGGACTCCCACAGGGCATACCACATGGCATACTGTGGTTTGAGTTCCAGACCTGGTGGCTTAAACTCGTGCTAGACACATGTGCATGTGTGTCCAAAAACCCAAGAGGAGAATGGAAAAGAAGGGATTGTGGCATGGCCATTCCCCCAGGGGTGATTTCTCACTTTCTATCTCTGTGTCTCTCTCTGCCTTTCTGGTGAGCACTCCCTATAGCAAAACTCCCTCTTAAAAAAATATACCATACAAAAACATAGTTAAAAAAAATAAATTAGGACCAGCAGTGGTGGTTGAGATGCTGGACAGCCACATGGCTGACCAGCGGTTGATTCCCAGATATAGTGGCTTGAAAATCACTCTAAGCACTTTGGCAAGCATATCCTAAATTCCAAGGGTAGTATGAAGGACAAGGGATTATGGCATGTCTTTCTCCAGTGAGTGCATGGGGCCTATGGTAGTAAATAAATAAATAAATTGCACTGAATCAAAATTAAAACATTTTCCACTTTTATATACCTCTGAGGAGTAGTCTTTTATTTTTTATCTTAGAAAAAGGAGATTGGAGCTATCTCTATTAGTGGCTGGGGAAAAAAAATTTATTATTTAAAGTCTGAACAACACTGAGAGAGACGTTGAAGTGAACAACTAGTAAAATGATGGGTATGGATTCCCTATACATTGAAGTCATTCATTTTCTCAGGGTTACTTAGCATTCAAGGTTTCGAGGCAAACACTAAATTGAAAAATATCTCTTCTTTTATTTCTGCTGCTCACTTCTAATTTGGGCTAGTTATTTAAACTAGAAGTTTCTATCTGCATGATAAAATTTATGTCAAATGATACATTAGTATGAGTATTAAATAATTTGATGAGACTTCACAAAGTTCATGAAAACAACAGATTTACAAGATAAAAATAAAGCCATCAGGTGGCATGATAGTTAAGACGCAGGATTTCCATATGGCCTACTGAAGCTCAAGTTCTGGACCTGGTAGCTTTAGAATCACACATGTGTGAGCAAGCCCAAGATCCTAGGAGAATGGAAGAGAAGGGATTGCAGTATGATCATCCCTCCTGAGAGGTGATTTCTCCCATTCCGTCTGTGTTTCTCTCTGTTCTCTATCTTGTGAGTGCATGCACCTTATGACAAAAAAAAGAAAAAATCCAATATTAAAAATATGATCTGTGAACCATGTGGTATTATGTGCAGACACACTAACCACCACTCTACCTGGGACCCAAGATATTTTGTTTTTAAGATTGTAGGCAAACCATCCTGCACAAGCAGACTATAGTAGCTGGTATCTCACTTCCTGACCCAAAAATGTATTACAAAGCTGTGATCATCAAAACAATATGGTATGGCACAAAAATAAACACGAGAATCAATGGAACAGAGAAGACACTCAAGAAATAAACCCCAAAACATACAGCCAACTCATCTTTGAAAAAGGTTACCAGCCAATCCAGTGAGAAAAGGGAAACCTCTTTAGCAAATGATGTTGGAAAAACTGGGTATCCACCTGCAGAAAGATGAATCTGAAACCCTATCTGTCACCATTAGCAAAAATCAACTCAAAGTGGGTCCAAGTTCTAAACTTAAGATAGCAAACCATAAAACTACTGGTGGCAAACACTGAGGAAACTCAGAGACATTGGGGTAGGTAGAGACTTCTTAAGACTCCAAAGCACAGGCAATAATTCTCCAA